ATGGAAAGGACACATCTGCCCTTAGTACTTACATAATAAATAAAGTAAATAAAGCTGAAATAAATAACAAACTGACTCAAACTGACACTACTATAACTGAAACAAATAACTACACATGCTGTCCTATGAACACAGTGGGGACCACTGCAGTGGGGCCCACATCAGTGTTCTCTACAATGATTAGCCTAGATCTTGGAGGGGAAATTTCCTCCAACCTACACTATATAAAAGGAGCCTAAGCTGTTACTCTTCTCATAAGAACATAACTATGAAATTAGGATCATTTCATAGCATGCAGTTCTGGTTACTCTGGTTTTGTAAAATTACTGGAAAATAATTTCCCTTTTGTTGTACCAATAAACCCATAATAAGAAAAGGATCAGTTCTCCCAAGGATGGTTTCTTTTTTGACTAATTTTCATTGATTATGCAATTATATCAAATAAACTCTGTTAACTATATAAGTTCAATTTCTCGAAGGAAATATGCACTATCCTTTAGGTGCTACTGCAGACTGATGAAGAAAAGTACAACAATACCAGCTGCAATTTAAGAAAGAAGTTCAGGAATCCATAATTGCAAAGTAAAAGAGAAAGCAGAAATACCAGCAATTTTATCAGGAATATATCTCAGTGCAGCCCAAGCATGGATGCTTCCACTTGAGTGACCCACCACCCAGAACTTGTCAGTAACACCAACAGCATTTGCTATGGACAAAATATCCCAGGCAGATGAATTAAGATTCCTGTCAGGATGAGGATCACTCTCTCCAAAACCAGGAAGATCATATGTGACCATGTGAATACCAAACTCCTCTAGAAGTGATGTTTTAATTCCAGGTATCCCTGTAGGGGGATGGTATGGAAAAAAACATGACAAAACTTCATCAGCAGAAAAAAAAAAAACACTTAGACCACTTTGCACAATGCAGTAATACCATACTGAAACAATTGATTCACCTCCAAATCGGGAAGAAAGAAAGGAATGTGGAGCAATCAGAGAGAATCTAGCCCGGTCAGCTGAAACGCCTTGCTCATGATATGCCATGTACCTTCCATCCAGAAGTTGAAAGCGTGTAGCACTTGGGGGATGTATTTTTACTTTCTTTGTCACTGGAATTGTACTATCATGTCCAGTATTTATGCCCAATGCTGCACATATGACATGTCAGAAAATTCTAGGCAGAAACAAAAAATAAAAGTCAAAACATCATATTATTGGGTATTACTATACAGAGAAAAGGAAGGGATAAGAAATTAAACATCAAATTGATGGAAGCGTTAGTTTTAGTTGCCTCTTCTAAATTAGGACATCAACAAGTATACTGTACTTTTCAATAGGCTTGAAAAATTGCGCAGGTTTTATTTCAACTATCTCAATTTTCCTTCTTCATTGGGCTTTTCCTTTAGATATTACTCCAAACTTTGTGCATATGATCTAATAAAAGTTCAGAATTTTTTTCTTCTTTTCTTTTCTCAACAACAAAAGAATCTATTAAAAAAAATGTTAAACCCAAGTCACTATTAACAGAAGTGGAAAAGGGAAGATACAAAAAAAGAGTTAAAAATGGCATATGCAAACTTATGACACTATACAAGACATGCATGGCATACTCTTCACAAGATTTTGTGCACTAGCATGTGCTTTGGCATGTGATAGCAAGTATTTCAAGAAGACAACCAGTATATGGATTTCTCTGATATTTTTGGGTGATATCTAAGTAACTCCCTTCCTATTGGCAACACTGCTAGGTGACCTTGATTTCCACCACAACCAAACTCTTTTTTTTTCCTTTCCTTTTTAAGTGCTTTGAGGCTTGGTAAAGAGCTTTAATTTCTTTTCGTTTCCTGTTAGTATATGTACCCTCGTTAGCAGTATGGTAGCCTCTCGTTTTATAGGTCAGGATGCTAGGCACTCCAAACCCTTTTTTTCCCGGGTATATGAACTCCAGAGTCCAGGTACCTGTTCCAATCAACAATCTATTTTCCTCCCTTAATGTTTTTGTAAGTGCCTTATACATTGTTGGGAAGTTCAACAAATTGTCTGTTTAGTTACAGTGATTGGACTAAGTGCTAAAGTTAGGAAATTCCACTGATCCTCACAGAGATAACAGAAGTTACTTATGATGCTTGACACCCCTGTGGCCCTGCCACATAAGGACATTGGCTTAAAATACGATAATGGAATCAAATATTTAACTATAGTTGATGTTTCAACAAACAGGTGTACCATTACTCCCGCAAGTAATCTGCTATGTGAGTATGTGTGCTTTTTTTTTTTTTACTGTGGATGGTACTCTCTTTCGAAGATGTACCAGAGTGAGATTTTAGGAATCTGAATGGTGTGGGGAAGGAAGACTAGGTGACATTTGTCCAAGATTGTAAAGGCCGTGCACGAGAGCATCACAGTTAGTCAATGCTTCGAAAAGAGTGGTGTGAATAAGTTGTGTGGAGTCTGATATTCAGGCATATTATATTAGATAGAGAATTGGAAGAGTTTTCTGTTTTATTTTTAATATTAGAGGCACTGAAGGTGGATACTAATGAACTAAATGCAAGATTGTGGAAAGAATGTGTGGATGAGAATTTTTCTGTTAAGCTGTTTTACAAGGTGGTTACAAGAAGTTAGGTTGAAGGATCTGATGTTAAGAGGGTATTGGGAAATCCAGTTCTTCCTACATTTGAGGCTCTTGCATGGTTATTGTTCTTGAGTAGTATTTTGATGTTAGGTTATTTGAAATCAAGGGGTTTCCGGTTTCCAAGTATTTGTTTGATGTATAAAGAAGTAAAGAACATGAGGAAGACATGAAACACTTGTTCATTTGATGTAGTATGACAAAATTTATGTGGGATTTCTTCTTTTCTATGTTCAAGCGAGATATTATCAACCTCTCCAAATATTAGGTGTCGTAAGAAGGTCAAAGGAGAGAGAGAGAGAGAGAGATTTTAACACCATATAAAGAGAGAAATAGACACATTTTTTAAGATAAAGCAATGTCTAAAAGCAAGCTAATTGCAGAATTTTGCTCATTGATTGTGAACAGGTTGCTAGCATATCCAGAATTAAAGGTGTAAACAGAAAGGTGTGGTTACAACTTGTGGGCAATGTTGGGTCTTTGTAATGAGGGATCTTAAATTGGATGTGGGGAGTGTCATTGTACTTAATTTTCGGTGAAGTTTGCTTGTTATTTGTTAAGAGCACTTCACAAAAGATTATATCTTCTTCTTTTTCCTATTTATGAAAGCAGTCCACCAGGAGTAAATCTTCTCCATTTCCAGGTAGAGCACTTTTCACTGCATGTATCAATTTATTTGGGAAGCTGATTGCCACATTTTTGGCTTTTTTTTATTTGCCTCTCTCTCCTTCATCTGTGTTCTTCTTGGATGATTTTTTTATTTATTCTACATTGCTGATCAAAAGAAAAAAAAAAGGGAAATGCAAATCCATAGAGATAAAATTATTTTCTTTGTCTGAAGGTTTCTAAATAAGCTGATCTTCTTTGTACGACATACCATAATGACTAGTCAGTAGATAACCAACCAAATGTTATCATCCTAACTAATAACTAAGGTACAGCTATTGCAGTTGGTAGCATACACCATTGACAGGATTTTGCATATGCTCAGGTTCAGCGTGAATGAGCCACCGTGGTCTATAACAGGGTAGGATTAAAAATCTTCCTTATAGAAAAGCAGGAGTTTTTACAACATAACAATCAGATTATGAGGTAATTACACCCACAGCGAGGGAGGGAGGGGAGAGAGAGAGAGAGAGTACGAAGCTGATAAATCAGTTATGGACAACTAATCGTAAATAACAAATTTCTGATTCAAGAGCAATAGGAGGGTGCAAGAACTTAAAATTAGTATAACTACTGAAGCCCTGTAAAAGTAATATCTTAAGCATCTGATGCCTTCTAACAAGATTTGAATTATGCAACAGAATTTATTCAGCTTTATAATGGGTTGATGATACAGAAAAACCTGAACTACCTGCAAGTGCAAGGATGAAGACGAAGAACACCACCGGCCAGGCATGAGCAGGATCCCGGTCCTCCGGCAAGAATTCGTTCATGAAGCTTAGCCTACTAGAAACCTTCGCCCAAGGCCCTCCCAACTTCTTAACAATATACGAGTCCTCATTCCCAAGATTCTGTTGCACTATATCCCTGCAACCCCTGGCCAACTCCTGAAGCATTTCGGCTACAGACTTCAGAAATCCTTTAACCTGATCCTTTAGGCTCTCTATTTCAGCACCATCACCTTCGAGCCCCTCGACACCTATAAAATCCGCCCTTCTCGTTTCCAGAGCAGCTGGAGTGGTTCCAATTCCGTCGCCGGCGTATCTTATCCCTGTGTCCTCCACAAGGCTTGCGAGCTCCTCTCGCCATGACTTCGATGCTGTAACTTCTGGCATTTATACAACATACACCTACAAACACCTAATTGCAGGATCACAACATCAAGTTCTCAGAATCCGCTTTCATGAATTTAACACAGAGACGACGCAGAGATGCCAAGTCGATCGCTAGAACTCATTTTAAAGCAGAAGTCGTACATCAACCATCGCAGTGGTTCCAAACCCCTATAAAACAAAACTAATATCGGAACTCCATTGGCGTGATCCGAAAAGACATTGTTTAATAGCAGAAACCCTAGCCGACCAGCAATTAACGGACTAGATCCCTCCAAGTAAGTCAATACAAAATGGCTAAAAGGCAAAAGTATCGACACTCTTTTTTTTCCCTTTAGACAGACGGACAGAGACGTGGATGCTGAAATCGTTGCTGGTTTGCTGCAGGTCTATTCGTATCGAATACCGATACGAATAGGCACTTTAACCGTCATCGCCATTAATGGTCGTTTAAGCTCTTCAACGCTCTGAACTAGACTTGCCGAGGACCATGAACCACAGTGGTTATGACTTGTGAAAGCACCGGTTTTGTTGATTCCCTTCGGCTGGAAATCGAGGGCTGTCGTGTAATTAACTGCCTGGCCACAGGCTAATTGGTGGGTGATGGAGTGTTTTTAACGGTTTGTCACCTGTAATCGCCGGTTAAAGTGTAAAGGCTCCTTGACGCTGTGGAGTGACGTGCGGTGTGTGCATGTGACGAGGAATGTTTTTTTCTTTACTTCAATCCTTTTTTTAAAGCTCGGTGTTGAAAACCGGGAAAGATACTCTGCTTCTCTCCTAGCTTCCATTCCAGTGCAGATGGCTGAAGTGGAATATCTTAACCGTCCACTGATGATGGTCATTTTGGATTGGATGAATCAAGTCAACAACAGGCCGTTAGGATGAACCAACGAATAGTTTCCTTTTGGCTCATCATCTGCCACGTGTAAAGGCATGTTGAAACAGAAACCTAGTGCTGTTAATCAACACAGGCAAGCTTGACATCGCGATAGTGAGAGCAATGATTTTTGGAAGGGTAGTTGTGGAAATCGGGGGGAGTACCGATGGCAGGTTACTTGGGAAACGAGCGGATCCTCTCTTTCGCTTTTTTTTATTTTTTTTGGGGTAGTGGGCTGGTGGTTGGTGGGCCCCAATTGTCTTTCACCGATCAACGCCTTAGATTTGGTAGATGGTGGGACCGGGGGACCTCGATTTCGTAAAGAGAATTTGTTGATTCAAAGTGGAAATGGAAGATGAAACTTAGGGGTAGGGGGTTAAAAAAGGAATAGTTGGATTTGGACGGTTGACTTGAACTATTGGTGAGTGAGCTGAGATGAGGTTAGTAGGTTGGTGGTCTACATCCATTGGAAATGAGTCTTTCTTACCGAACAGATGACAGGTATGCGATGTTTCTAGACCGACGGAGGAAGCGATAGCCACGCACCACGTGCCTGGCGAGTGGCGTGGGTGTTTCGTCAATGCATCGATGAAAATTAGGGATATTTTGGTCAATAAAAATAATTGGTGTTTTTGTCTTTGTGCGGATGAAACTACTCGAGTTTGCTTAGCAATTCCCTACCATAAATTACGAAGAAGAAGAGTCGGTGGTTACAGACTTACAAGTAACAATAGTCAATAGTGTGTAGGATGACATAGACAAATGGATGGTCCCAGATCCAGGACATGGTTTGGTTGCTTGGGGCACGTGGATGCAATATGAGTGGTGGTTAGGGAGTTGGATTTGACTCATAGTCGTAGTATTTGAGGTGTATTTTCTCTCTCAATAATACAGATTATTTGCAAGTTGAGCCATCAACAGGTTGGAAGAATCTCTAACAATGCATCCAACTCGTACACGTATCTCTGCCTCTGTCTTTATAATTTGGCCCTACTATTGGACCCCGAGCAAGTGAATAGATTCCTCTAGATAAAAAGATGATGTAAAGCTAGCGTGGAGATGAACTACTGCGAGCTGAGAGCGACTAACCGTATAAGGATAGAATGTCCTTCAGTATTGCAAATCTTATATAAAAGAGAACATTAATAAAAGATTTGTAACATCCGAAACCCTTACGCACTGTGAAAGAATGGACCAGATAGCATCAATTGATTGGAGGAGACATGCCAGAAATCTTATGAATGATAAATTTGTAGTTGAGGTTGTTTGATGAAGCCGTGAGGAATCAAATGGGCATTTAATATTCATTGGACCGACTAAAAGTGGTTGAAATCAATATTGTTTTCGGTTGATGGATTTATAGGTACTTTTCACTCATGAACGCTTATTAATTTGCGAGGATAAAAGATTGACTCGATCAATAATCCAATCACCTAACCAGTTGAAACGCTAAAATTTTAAAATTTTCAATCAGGTTAGTTGGTCACGGATTAAATATCAATTAATTTCTCTTTTTTCTTTTGTATTTTTAGTCATTTTCATCATTAATAATAATAATAATAAATATCATTTATAACACTTCTTTTTTTATAATTAATAAATGTGTATGTGCTTTGTACTTAGTAATTTTTATGATTATAGTAAATAATATGTTTCTAAAATTTTTTATAATTTTTTATATTTCTTTGCCTATAAAATATATTATTGTTTATCACATTTATTTTTCTTTAATATTGTTAATTGATATAGGATTCCATGAAAGATTAGGAATTAATACCCTAAATATAAGACTTAGTGATAGGAAACTTAATGATGAAAAATATAGTAGTTCAAATTACATTTTGTATCCCCCACAATTAGAGAGAAAGAATAAATTCAAAAATAAAGGTATTATAGTCAATAATATGATCTAATAAATGTTAATGGGACTATGGGAGTCAATACCTTAAATATAAAATTTTATTAGAGGGATTGAAATGGGGAGAAAAGTAACTATTCAAATTACATATTTGTCCTTACAATTAGAGAGGGACCAAATTCAAGCAATCAAAACAATATTGAGTTCTTCTGAAATTTTTTCATGTGCTTTTATAATTTTGTTTGTTTTTATATTTGCACTATTTGATTTATCACATCATAGGTTGACTTATTTGACCGGATAGTTAAMCCAGCCACACTTGAAATAGTTTCATTTCCATATCAGCTTTTTTAAAATAATGGTTAGAGTGATTTTCCATATTTTACTTATTGCAACATTAGTGTCATTGCTCACATTTGAATTGCAATTAATTGATCTATATGCTCAATTTGGAAGGAGCACAAATACAAATATATAGTGCAAAATATTGTATTTGTGTATTATTTTTGTATGTATTTGAATTATACACACTTGTATTTGTACTCTTTTCAAATTGAACCACGATGCCAAAAAGACATGCACTAAAGAGCTTTATCCAATCAATATGAAATTTGATAAATACCACTTGATTAGTTAATACCTTTTATGATACCTGTTGATTGGTTACATATTTTTCTAGCATCGTGACTTTTCAATGTTATAGTTGAACCCTTATAAGATAGGGTAACATTTGATAAAAAAAAAAAAAAAACTAAGGGAATTTGAATGGGGAATGGGAATGCTCCATTCCCATTGTTTGGTTTAGATATGAATGGGGAATGGGAATTTGAATAAGCATGAATGGGATTTCATTCCCAATGGAGAGGCAGGGAATGTCCATTCCCTCATATAGAAGAATGTTATTCCAATAGGAATGGGAGTGAGATTCCAATTCCGCTCAACCAAATAGTTGGAACTGGAATAGCCTATTCTAATTCCGATTCCAGACCCCTATTCCCACGAACCAAACAGGGCCTAAATTTATTCATGCACATAAGGGAGAAATGGAGGGGTGCATCCGAAGTCTTTATGCAATGGGTGAATTGTAAACAATTCTACAAAACAAATTTGAGGCTAATTAAGGAACCTATGTATAGCTCCAATGGGTGATAAAAATTAGATAAACTAGCTTGAGATGGTTTAATCACGTGCATGGAACACTATCAACAATACCATTTAAAAGGAGTTAGGTACACTGCAACCCAATGCAGAATTCTTAATGACAGCCCCCCATAGTCTATTAGTAGCCCTCTATAAACCGCATCATACCTATGAATTTGGTATCAATTCATGGTCAAGATTCATCCCCCCTGTACAGTGGGGCTAAAAAAATATGTTCTGGATTGATCAATTATTCTCTCTTAATCTATTACAAGTTGAAGATGTTAGAAGAACGATGGACAAACTGAAAATAACTTTGTAGAAGAGCAAGAAGCTACCCAACGTAGCAAAAAACGTAACAAAAGTGGTTTGTAAAATGAGAAAGGTGCAAAAATGGAGTTAAGATCTCTTACCCACACCTCAGCTGACATTGAGAACATCTCCCATATTTGCATGTTACCATTCATGGGGAGATATTCTCAATGTTAGAGGTGCAAGTTGGGTGGGTTGAGTCGAGTTTATGGTCAACCCGGGCCCAATCCTAAAATTTGGGTATAAAGCCCAAGCTTGAGGTCAAGCCCGATTTTCTCAATCCGAGCCTAGTCCGCACTGTAATTTGATGCACTCGGATTGGTCAATGAACCCACTCTAAAATTATACGTATATATGTATTTATGCAAATACATATGCAATTAAGTATGTATATAAATGTATATATATACAAATACGTATGTATGTATATATATGTAAAGATGTATGCAAAATTAACATATATACATATTTGTATAGTTGGGCTGGGTTTGGGCTAGGGGTGGCCACGAGTCGAACTCTTCACAAGCTATTCGAGTTCACTCATGAGAAGCTTGGCTCGGCTCAGTTTCAACCGAGCTTCAGTCGAGCTCGAATAGCTACATATATAATAATAATAATAATAATAATAATAATAATAATAATAATAATAATAATAATAATAATAATAATAATTGATGAAGGGAAATTTGGCCCGACCTCGTAATCACCCGACACGTGGCAAAAGCAAGCAACTCGGGGTAGCAGAGCGCCCAAAACGAGCACCGAAAGTAACGAAGTCCAAGCTCACTGCTGAGCCCGAACTCCACCAGACCGGATTCTCTACTAGGAG